AAACTCGATATTTTATATCATCATAAAAAGTATATTCTTTCATATAGAGTTAGTTTCTTGTTTAGCATTGGAATCACATGTGTTGAATAACCTAAAAAAACATTTTAGTAACATCTAAAATTTAGGGTGATCTATTTAATAATCTCTACAGTATTTATACTGAAATTTTAGGTGTAAAAATTGACATTACATCGAGGGTTAAAATAATCAATTGGCATATTTCACTAAAAATTTCGGAAGTTTTTTGTGGCCGTAATTCAAAATCATCTAGAGTGATTTTAATTTAATTTAAGGATGTGTTTAGGAATGACGGTAGAATGACTGGTTTTTTTAAAAAAATATTTAAATATAATTGATTTTTTCTAAAATCAACTATTCAAATGATATTTTTATAAATTTAAATTGATTTTAAACTTTCTTAAAATAAGATTTTTAATTTGCTTAAACAATAAAAAGTGGAGTGATTTTGACAGTATCAAAACTGATTTTGTGATTTCGATCATGCCAAAATCACTTCTAAGAGTGAAACCAATTAACCCAAACATCATCAAGGTAAGTTATTATTTAAACACTCTTTTACTAAAGTGTTAATATTTTTTTTCCTAAAAATATTTTAAGTACTCCAAAACATACTAAGTGCAATCCCGTTCTTTTTTTAATATATATTTTTTAGTACAACGACAAGTAAAAGTAAGAGTCTTAACCCATGACATAGGTTGACAAACCACGGGATTATCTTATGGAAAAAAACACCATACCTCTGCTACAAGAATAAACAGAAAATAACTGAGAAATTAAAAGAAAATGACAATAATAAATAAACACGAAAACTCCCAATAAGAGAAAAAACTACTAATTGTAAAGAAAATTCATTAGGTGAACAATTATTACAATCACAACTTATCAAAGTAAATATCATTCAAATAACTATAGCTAGTACAACAGGCTTAAAATTTAGATGAATAAAATTCAAAATCCTTACACTATCTACTGAATTATGCCAAGATTGTTCATCAAGTATCATTACTCATATTAGTGTCAAATTTGCAAAAATGTTGCGTTTGATATTTGCCTTACTTTTTTATATTGATAACTAACATAGATTTATGGACCATATGGACTTTTAAATAATATTTCGTATGGTTTTTATATATTTCATAGTCATAAAAAAAAACAAAATAAAGTTGTTAAAAAAGGCAAATTTAGACGGTCTTTTGAAGTTAAAATCAATTGGTGAAGGCTTCAACTGTTTGACAAATCAGCATCAACAAGGACAATACACCCGCTGAGATTTGTTTTTACACCCCGACCAATTCTCACGAGATACAATTTTTTTAATTTAAAATTAAGGTTGAAAATTCAAATTTTAACCCATTGAATTATATTAGTGCTTTTTCTCATGAGTTATAAGTTCGAATTCATCTCTTATTGGTCTAAAAATAAGTTATAGATTCAAACTTTTAATGTAATTTTGGTTAAAATTTCTGATAATTAAAAATTCAGCTAAAGATGTTATTAAAAATAAAATCATTATTAAATAGAATCCTCAGTTTGTTACCTGTATATTCCTTTTAATGGACGGCTAGAAGTTTTATTGGTTAAAGAAAACAAAATATTAGGAATTTTTTAGATCTAGATTCGTGCTCTAGAATTTTGTTGACCCCTTTCTCTTTGAAAGCTGTCGCCTCTCTAGATTTCTCCTTCTTTAAAGTATTGTATTTTTCCATTCTCTTTAATTATAATTTTTTCAATTTAGAAAAGTCTGCATTTTATCAAATATTCGTACGTTGGTAATCAAAAGTGGAGGGCATACATTTGCTTTTGAAATATATATAGATATATAAATCATGGAATTTTTTTTATTAAAAAGAAATATGACCATTAAAGTTACATCAGAAAAATGGTAATCAAACATTACAATTATAATCTACGAAAGAAAACAACTATTTTAAAAGATAGAGAAAGACGAGAAACCACACACTTGGCCAATAAAATAATTGTTTGTTTAAAGAACTAGAACAGGAACAAATTTTAGTCCACTAATATTTAAGTCATATAAAATTTATTAAAGATTGGAATATACATATATATTTTTTATTGTATATTTAGAAAAATGCATTATTCAGTAAGTTTAAGCAGAAGTTTCAATCAAATTTGTTTTAAACATCTTCAATTTTTTTTAGAACACCTTCAAATGAAAAAGTTATACCGTTCAAGCAATTAAAATAAAAAAATATTTCTTTTCTAGACAGTTAAAATATCGCATCACTTACAATCTGTCATTAAATTAATATATTATAAATAAATTTTTTTGAAAGAAATGGTAATAAAAATGCACCTGCGAAGATATTTCAAAGGGTTCTGGAAGTGGAAACCAAGTCGTGGTGACGTCATTTGTACGTATGGGGGTGGTTCAGTTTCAGCTATTTTCTCCATTTTTTTTCTTTTTGTTTCTTTCTGAAAATAGTTCGATTTGTCGTTTTCGACTAACGAAGCCCTTCGCCGTCAAGTTTTACGGTTTCTTCCATCTATTTGAATTTTCTCTCACATTTGACTTTCCAGAATTATTTGACCAATCGTCGTTTCACGTTCAACTCTTATTGGTCCATTTTGCCCGCCAAGAATAATCGTAAATACAAAGAAAAAACACACACGAACAGAATCTCTTCCCCTTTTACCCCTCCTTTTCTCCGGCTGCCCCTCAATTTCAAAAGGGGCATTGACGGAAGACAACATTAAGTTAAGGGTCGCCGCGTATCCAATATTTTATTTTGATTAATTAGCTGTGTCACTGTCATTTGCCCCATCGATTTAAATAATAACTATAGAAAATAATATTTTATACATATAAGATTTTGATTCGCTTCGTTCGACGTGCATTTATGGCAATTAATTTTAAATAATATAAATCTATGGTTCAAGGAAATCCATGTCACGCTATATTTTTATAATCCCACGTGTCTAGACTCTAGAGCATGTGATTTTTCCCCCATAGATAGCAATTATTGATCGATGTTATTTGTATTCACATGATATTTAAATAATTTTTACTGTACAATGTTTAAAACATGATCATATCCATTTGACGTTTCATATTATTTCATTTAGTTTAGTACAATAATCTTCGATTTTGTACTGTACGCTTTATATAAAAGGTAGATTTTTAATTTTGTATTATGCAATAGTTTAAATTTTGAATTTATTAAAATATTACAAACCTAGCAACTACTGGGAGCCAATCAAGTTTTGGGTGACCGATAGTAACCACCTACGTATTGTTATCAATGAACATTTACTCAATATTGTTAAATTTGTCTCGATAAACATAATTTTTAAATAGAAAATAATAAAATAAAATATGATAAATTATAAGTTTAGTACTAATAGATTAGTGAATTTTAAAAAATTGCTCACAGGTCTTACAGCAGGTCTATGACTTTCAATTTTGTGTAGGTCATTGACATATTTATATTTTTGAAAATTAATAGATATTTAATTCAATTTTCTGTTAGACAAAACTTCAACCTTCAATTATGTGTCTAATAAATATATAAAATTTCATAAGAATATATAATTGACATCTATTTTTTTTAGTAGAACAAGTGGGAGTATGGAATTCAAACTTATGACCTGTTGATCATAGACACATGTCAATTATTGCTGAGCTAAATTCAGGTTGGCTGACTGACATTGATCTAACAAAATATAAAACATTAATTTCCATTATCCCATCACTAAAATGAAACAAGATTATTAGGGGTTTTAAAAGGTAGGGTTTTTGAAGTTAACAAAAAATGTAGGGTTTTTCAGTAATTTTATTTGATAATCTTTGTAGCCATATGGTTTTTCCTGTTCCGTGGAGGGTGGGTCTGAGATGAGACATGTGGCATGGTGAGAAATACTTACTATTTAGTCGATTATAAGTATTTTTTAAAAATTCTATGGATTTTATTTTTAAGAATGTTGATGATCAGAAATACCATGAAAAAAATATAACTTTTTAGAGGAGGTAGATACGTCATAACCACCAAAATTTCTATGGCATTTTTTCTTTTTCGGATAAAGAAATTTCTATATGGTGTTTGATTGCATGCAAGTGATATTAGAATTCATAAATATAATTAAAAGCACGTTAAATTATCTCTAGAGAGAAGAAATACTTAATTGGAGATTTGAAACTGCCGACTTTAAAGGAAGAATATTGGATATCTTGACCACTCGATTATATTCATAGAAAGTTCAACTTTGGTTTTGAAGCTATATAAAGAAAAAATACTACTTACTAAATTTTTGATAGGAGTTGCGTTGCCCCAAACTCTATATAAAATAAAATAACCTAGACATCGCAACGACTGCTATTTTATCCAGGGATAAATCAAAGTGAGATGTCCTTGATTTATGGTACTCAATGRGACTCACAATCTTTTCTACGGTAAACTATACTTTATTAATAGTACTTATATTAGTATGTTCATTTATATTTATGGTGCCCATAATGGATGTCAGATGATTATCGATATAAAATTAATTTAAAAAAATAGGCTAAATTTTAAAAAACCCTTAATTTTATATTTTGCTTAAAAAATACTTCTTTCTTTTCAAAAGTTTCAATACTACCGTATCATTGACCTTTTACGTAGAAAATACCATTTGAACAAATATCTATTAATATTTTGAATGAAAAGTTGATGTGGCAGAATCTAATATACATGACAAGTTTCAAACCCTATGATGGTCACTAACATTAATAATTAGTAATTTCTATGTGTTTTCCCGACACCAAATATTGTAGGATCAGGTGGTTGTACCGTGAGATTAGTCGAGGTGCGCGTAAATTGATCCAGACACTCACGAATATAAAAAAAATGCATAGCAAGGTAAGTAGATCAGACTTGACTACACTATAAATCTTAAAATAGATGAAATGTTGAAGAACTTATCGTTTTTAACATATTGAATTAGAGCCAGAATGAGTAGAAAATGGAGAATTAACTCTCTTGACAAGGGGCGAAAAGTACTTTTAAGGCAAAATTTTAATTTTAATTGTCGAGTCGAAAATCTCATATTTTTTATTCAAACAATTATGAAAGGTTAAACGTAGTATTATAACTTTTAAAGAATAAAGATATTTTTTAAATAAAGAAACAAAGTTTAGGGGGTATTTTTATAAATTTAACCTAACAAAGATGATTAAATGCATCAATTAACAGAGAGAACATAAATTTCCGAGGGAAAGTAGGAGGTTAAAATAGAGTTAAACTCGCTAGGACATATATTTTCGAGGGAAAGCAGGAGGTTAAAAAAAACCCAAAGAAAAGAAACACAAATTATATGTAATGAAAGCAATGGTTTTTTTTTTCTTCTGTTGGAGGATCACGTCGCAGGTAATAAGGTGGTTAAATGCAAATTGTTTAAATTAATTAATAATTTTGAAGTTGGTGAATGAACGGCGAAGATTGAATAATTATTATCCAATGATAATTAGTTTTGGTGTTTGTTTAACGGCTTCCGTAATAGCGCCACGACTGAGAAACCACTTTCTTTTTCCGAGCGAAAAAACAGTGAAACGATGAATCCACAAGCATTCTATTGCATTGCAGCTTCTTCTTCGTTTATTCCCCGATTTCTTTCCACAGTTGCAGTTTCTGGTTTCAATCTCGCCAGATAACAGGTAACATCACTCATTATTCCTCTATATGTTTTTCGTTCCATTTTTCTTTTCTGTTTCTCGGATTTCTTATTTACATTGGCGTGAATGGTGGAGCCGGAGCTTTAATTTGTGATCCGCGAGTCTTGTGATTGGATTTGAGTTAAATCGAATGAATTTTTGAGTTGTCTGATCTATTGAATGTTTTCTAATTTATCGTATTGGTGATCGCCGTGGCGTTGTGGAGAGAGGTTCAAATCGTGTTGTGTGTTTTTTATGTGAAAGGTGGATTTGGAGAATTTTGATGAGAGGTCAGAAGAGAAGGAAGCAGCGCATGCATCTATGAAGAAGACTGGGGTACGCAGGTCGCCACCGCACTACCTGATGCAATTGTCGCTCGTCGACATTGTTGTGCTTCTTCTTCATGCGGTTTCCCCACGATCTTCTCAGATGGAATGGCAGATCCTGCTAGCTATGGGAATCACGAGCGTGACGTTGAGCAAGTCAGTTATTCTCACGCTTCCTTCAAAACCATGTCCCTCTCTCTCTATCTCTCTCCCTCTCTAGCGAGCGCCATTATGCAAGGTCGTCGGACCTCGGTGCTCTGTTTGTCTTTGCTTTTCTCCTGAAATGCGTTTTGTTGTTTGTAATCTTCAAGGCAATTATCACTTTGAAAAAAGGAAGTCAACTAATCAAGTATAGCAGAAAAGGAAAACCGAAGCTCTGCCCATTCAGAATCTCTACTGTGAGTAATAATTTCCTTGTAGGGACACAGCATGTTCATTATTTAATTCCATTCAAAGCTGCTTGTCGTTCTACAGTGCCATAAGTACTGGATTTGTTATTTTGTGATATTAATTAGATGTGTAATGCACTATTGAAATTCTATACCGTTTGGTTCTATTAAAAATGATGCATGTACGAATATTAGCATATGAACAACTAGATTAATAATTATTTTAAACCACAAACATATTGGTGGGTACCATAACTTTCCACTGTATTTCTTTTACTGCAACGAATTTTCTTACTTTCAGGATATCACTGGATATTGTTGGTATTTTTAATTCAAATTGTAAAGAAGTCATAGGACATTCTTCGAATCCTGTCTTCACTTCCCCAAATTTGGTTCATCAATAGATGAAGAAATGTATTTCAGATTTCGGGTCATAAGAGGCACAATGTCTGTGGCAAGGTGTGACAGAGTTGATGAGCATAGGCAAAAATAACAAAACTAATGCTTTCTCTGATCATTTCCACCAGTTTCATCATCTTGTCCGCAGGCATTATGATGCCGTAGATTATGCATGACTTCATAATTTTAACTTGAGTGTGACTAATTATCAGGACGAAACCACGCTGATCTGGTACTCACATGGAGAAGAAAGGAGCTTGAAACTATCTAGCATCTCACGAATTATCCCAGGACAAAGAACTGTGAGTTAAAACTACCTCATTTTATTCGTTTGCTCATACAATAGCTCAATTTTTAGCCTTAATTAGCTTTATCAACTTGATACTAAGAAGCAGATGTCACTTGGGTTCTTTATTTTTCTCTGTTTTCTTCTCCTCTTGTTCTCTTATCTTTATCCATAATGCTACAATTTACGTTTTGAACTTCAAAAAGATTAAGAATGATATTTCTTTTCTTCTCTTCTTCTTCTTCTTCTTCCTTTTTCTCCTCCTCTTCTTTTCTTTTGTTTCCCTTGCAGGCTGTGTTTAGAAGGTATTTGAGGCCTGAAAAGGATTACTTATCATTTTCGTTATTGTATAGAAACGGGGAACGGTCACTTGATTTGGTCAGTGAAACTCATGGAAATATTTAAATTTCCACTTCATATCTGTAGTATCTCTGATTGGAGAGTAATTTCTGTGATTTTTTTCGTTTTTATCCTGTTTGTAGATCTGCAAGGATAAAGGTGAAGCTGAAGTCTGGCTTGTTGGCCTTAAGAATTTAATTTCTTCAAGAACACAGCATGGACGTACTAGGAGTGATTTTTCAGAAGTGAGTTTTTACTTTGCATTCACTACAATAATGAGCCTTGTCTTGTTCTTTTTAGCTTTTGTCCTGGATAGTTCGAATATTGTTTTTTTGTACCGTTCTTGCATTAGAGTTTAGTTCACATGAAAGGTAGCATCAGGGAGCTGTGAAATTATCCATGTGAATGCAATAGCACAATGGATTCGCATAGATAATCTTCATGCAGAAAATATATATGATAGCTGCAATACTAGTCGAACTCAAAGCAGCATACCACGAATGAGTATCTAATGCATGCACGAGGACGAGTCCAATCTTTTCCCACACTTTATCAGCAATATGTTAGGTAGTTGGAAAAGCATCTCTTCGGGTTCGCGCATACCACTTCTAGCATATCAATCATTAATGAGATCTCGTGACACAGAGAATAAAAGGGCCTGTTCAAAACATATCTACAATTTCTACCATTCTTTAGTATTATATGAACATAATTTCAGATTCAGTTCTATCAACCGCATATCCTGTACTTCACTGTTTTTTTTTTAATAAATACCTATTTTCAAACTAGATACCGAATAGGCCCTAACATTTCAAATTATGCACAAGTTGACCTTTTTCTGTCAGTTATGAAGTAAGGATATGGTTTACCCAATCTGCAGAATATGATTAAAAATCTTCCAAAGTTCCGCTGTACTGTTTTACAATCTTGATTCTTAATCATATAACCATAGATCATTTGGGTTGGCCATTTACTGCTTTTTAGCTGGTTATCATTTATCATTTTTTCTACTTTCTTAGTTTCAGGATGGTAGTGATTTCTTTCATAGTGGTCGACCTTTTGGTGCAACCTTAGAATTTAGTAACAGCATAGCTCGTGGAAGGGATTCGATTGATTTAAATTACCGTGAGTCTTCATTGCATTTCGTAAGTTCAGATGTGGGTTCAGAACGTGCAAATATGCAACTAAGAACAAGTGGTGGAGATGGTTTCCGCATCAGTGTATCAAGCACTCCTAGCTGTTCAAGTGTAGGATCAGGACCAGATGATATAGAATCACTGGGTGACGTTTATGTATGGGGTGAGATTTGGTCTGATGTAGTTTTACCTGATGGATCTGCAAATCCAATACCAGTAAGGAACGATGTGCTGGTTCCAAAGCCATTGGAGTCGAACGTTGTTCTTGATGTTCAGCAGATTGCTTGTGGTTCCCGACACATTGCTCTTGTAACGAGGCAAGGTGAGGTTTTCACATGGGGTGAAGAATGTGGGGGACGGCTTGGTCATGGAACTGATAGAGACTTTAGTCGCCCTCATCTTGTTGAGTTTCTGGCAGTTAGTAATGTAGACTTTGTGGCTTGTGGTGAGTATCATACATGTGCCGTGACCAATTCAAACGATTTATTCACTTGGGGCGACGGCATCTTTAATGCTGGTGTTCTTGGCCATGGCACTGATGTGAGTCACTGGATACCCAAAAGAGTTATCGGTCCTTTAGAAGGACTTCAAGTTTTATCTGTTGCATGTGGCACGTGGCATTCAGCATTAGCAACTTCCAATGGAAAACTATACACATTTGGTGATGGAACATATGGTGTATTAGGCCATGGTGATAGGGAGAGCGTGGCATATCCAAGAGAGGTGCAGCAATTGAGTGGACTTAGGACCATAAAAGTTGCTTGTGGAGTCTGGCATACTGCTGCTATTGTTGAGGTTATGGGTCAGACTGGTTCAAATATGTCGTCTAGGAAGTTGTTCACTTGGGGAGATGGTGACAAATACCGTTTGGGTCATGGAAACAAGGAAACTTATCTCCAACCTACTTGTGTTTCTTCACTCATAGACTACAATTTCCACCAGTTAGCATGTGGACACACCATGACTGTGGCCCTTACCACATCAGGTCATGTGTTTACCATGGGTGGGACTGCATATGGGCAGCTTGGCAATCCAACTTCTGATGGAGTTATTCCTTGCTTGGTGCAGGATAGATTAGTTGGTGAATTCGTTGAAGAAATTTCATGCGGCGCATATCATACAGTTGTTCTCACATCCAGAAATGAAGTATTTTCTTGGGGCAGGGGTGTCAATGGAAGATTAGGACACGGAGATATAGAAGATAAGAAGACCCCAACACTCGTGGAAGCACTCAAGGACAGGCATGTTAAAAGTATATCTTGTGGCTCAAGTTTCACTGCAAGTATATGCATTCATAAGTGGGTTTGCGGGGCAGATCAGTCAATTTGCTCTGGTTGTCGTCAAGCATTTGGTTTCACCAAGAAGAGGCACAATTGCTATAACTGTGGGCTGGTGCATTGTCATGCATGCAGCTCCAAGAAAGCTTTAAAAGCAGCACTGGCACCTACCCCAGGAAAACCACATCGAGTTTGCGATTCTTGCTATGCTAAACTTAAATCTGCTGAGGCTGGTAACAATTTTGCTGTAAATAGAAAAATGACATCCAATCGTCGCTCAACAGATTACAAGGAAAGATATGATAGAGGGGAGGTGAGACCCTCTCGTATTCTATTGTCTCCCACCACGGAACCGGTTAAATATCATGAGATTAAATCAGTAAAACCAGGGAGTAGGCCAACTTCTCCTTCTATGGTCCGAGCTTCTCAGGTGCCATCTCTTCAGCAACTGAAAGACATTGCATTTCCAAGTTCGCTGAGTGCTATTCAAAATGCTTTGAGGCCTGCAGTCGTAGCACCACCATCACCACCACCAATGGGCAATTCAAGACCTGCATCACCATACTCAAGGAGGCCAAGCCCTCCACGCTCAACTACTCCGGTATTTTCAAGGAGTGTTATCGATAGTCTCAAGAAGTCAAATGAGACGCTGAATCAAGAAAATTCAAGGCTTAAAAGCCAAGTATGTTCTCTTGTATATCTAACATTTTTGCTTGGTTATTGCACTATTCTTATTTTCTTTTATAGAAACCTACATCCAAAATATTTTTTTTGTTTAAAAAACATTTTGTGTTTTCAAATCAAATAAATAATTTCATCTACGATTCATTGGAACAAAAAAAAGCCCGGCTGACTAGGCTAGGCCTAAAGAAACTTGGTTCCATTCATATTAATTCAATCGTGTTTTTCAGCTTAAGAGTTTGAAGCAGAAATGTGATATTCAAGATACGGAAATTCAGAAATTGCACAAAAATGTAAATGAAGCAGCTTCATTAGTTGAAGAAGAATTCTCCAAGGGCAAAATAGCAAAGAAATTAGTTACAACAATAACAGACCAGGTAATCCAAATATATTACGGTTTGAATTACTTCATTTAGTTTAGTAGTTGGTTCAGATAACTTGAAAGGATGCTTTAGATGTCATTGGTAGCTTTACTAATTTTATTTGCAGGTTTGTAAAAAGCTATTATTTTATCAGACAAGATAAGCAGCCTTCTAAGCTCTGAATATGTCAAATGGTTGATTCTTGTATCCTCTAGTTAGAAGAAGTCATAAAAATATGTTATTTGAACCACAAGAGCATGAAAACAGTTATCTTCTTCATAATTTTTATCATGGAAAAACCACAACACAAATTGCAAGCCATTGATTCAATTACTATTGACGCGTGTTGATTAATGTAAATTTTTCCCACTTGTTTAGTTGAAGGAAATCACAGAGAAACTGCCAGAGATATCCGAGGGTGAAACTTTCAAAGCCATGTATGAGCAAGCTGAAGCTTTCTTAAATATGGTTGAGACATCGAAATCTTCATCTTTGCCTACGAGTCAAGCAACTAACAATCTAACTGCACCCAATAACGGATCTACTGCCTCATTTGACGATTCTTCAAAGAGGATAGGTGACAATGTAGATGCTGCAGGAATTAAGGACTTAACGCAGGAGAATGTAAATAATCTTCTAGAAAGTAAGAGAAATTCTGCTAGGGAAGCCGTTTCTCAAAGTGCAGAAAATGGCTCGAGATCACCAATTTCTTCAACACCATTGACTGAAGGCGAAAAGCAAGTTATTGAGCAGTTTGAACCTGGTGTTTATGTAACTTTGGTTGTGCTTTCAAATGGTACCAAGATTTTCAAACGCGTTAGATTCAGGTATCCAACTCTAAAAACAGTTACATTTGAAAGATATCACATCTCACATGTGCATTTAGAACACTATATAACTTCTCTTCTATGTGCAGCAAAAACCATCCTTGAACACATGTCATCTCATTATGTTGTGATCATGATTTTGGAAAAATGCAGCAAGAGTTTATGTCGTTTTACATATGTCAGACATGGACTTGCTCGTAACTGTTGCTTTGAATGCTTTCGACGCATTTCTTTTCCTTGCTTGTCTAACTTTGTTCAAAATTACAATGTGTTGCAGCAAGAGAAGGTTTGATGAGCAGCAAGCAGAAGACTGGTGGAATAAAAACAAAGACAGGCTGCTTAAGAGGTACAACCCATCAACAAGCAGCTCTACGCCAACAGGCTCACCTAAAACTCAACCATCTACAGAGGAAAGCAATGAAGTTCCATCAGCTTCCAAAGTGGATCTATAGGAATCCCAAGGGGATTGCTTTAGAATAGCAGCATCAGGTTTCTACCATATCATTTAGCAGATTTCGTTCCAGACAGAAGCAACAAGAGAAGATTCAACTCCAGAATAAGACAAGGTAAACTCCACTTTCTTCAAGTGGGGCAAAGAAGACATCGAAGGTTAGTTAATTTGGACGCATAAATAACCTCACAGTGACTTCTCCATTCATTTATTCTTTATTATTTCATTTCATTTTCAGCATCTCCTTAATTGCGTCGCCATTCATTTTCTTCTAGCTTCTGATGATGATGATGCTGATGTTTCTAGAATTGAGAAGTTCTAATTTAGTGTTGTACTCGTTCCCTGTGAAGCTCCATTTCATCCTCTCCTGTTTAAAAAACTTTTCAATGGGGTTATTATGGCCGTTTCCCTCATTCTTGGTGAACTTCAATAGTGAAGAAGATTTGTTTAGTTCAGGCTATTATTATTATAGCTTCAAGTTCACTTTTCTAGGAATGCATAGGGAATATCTTGGATTTGTCATCCACAAAGTGTAGGAGTTCATGTTGTTCCAAAGATGTATTTCCTACTTCTAAAAAAACCGGATCAAATAAACTAATTTTTTTGAAAAAAATTATTCAAATTTACCAAAATCATATTATTTTCAGAACTCCTTTTTTTAGTACAATTTTAAGAACTACTTGAAACCTTTAGTAATTGCTTTATGAAGAAAACAAAAACAAAAAACAAACACAATTTTTCATAGTTTTCGGCATGGGCTTTAAGCATAATCATGGGCTTGATATAAAAATAAGGGATTAGTATATCGATGGAATGTATGGAATTTACACGTGAAACAAACTTATTCACCGATCACCTAAATTACAAAACTATCCTTTTTATATACATATTAATATTAATTGATTTTTAAATTTCAGAATTCATTGATTGGAAGGTTATATTTTGAATCTAAAATACCAAAACATCCAAAAATATCCCAAAATCCCTCAAATTCGAAAACCTCCAAAAGTATCCCAAAATTCCCCCAAATTCGAAAACCCCCAAATTCGAAAATAGTGACTGTTCGTGTCTTCTTCTCCGTTCGTCGGGATTATTCATCCAATTGCTTGCGCCTTCTCCAACGATTCACCTCGATTTCATTTGCTCCTCCATTCGTCTGCTTCATCTGTCTCAGAGGCTTCGTATCCGTCGTAAAGTTGTCTGTTCCCATCGTCCAGCAGTCCGTTTCCGTTCTACCATCGTTTGGTTTCTATCCGCTCCTTCATCTCCGGTCCCCACCTCCATTTTTCTCTGTCGCCGGAGCAGTTCGTCTCCGTTTATCTCGATCGAAAAGTTTGCATTCCAATATATCCTAATATAATAGGGTTCTATGAGAATATATCTTATAGTTTGATCTTAGCATACAGAGCACCATAACAAATTTGTGTATTTTCCTTTTTGTGTGTAGGGATATATGGGGATATATGTTGCCTTGCACTCTTTACCTTTTTTTGTATAGGGATATATTGGGATATACGGGGAAAAAGTGCTCGAACGGAGAGAAACATGTTGAATCATCAAGCAATTAGTGTCGAAATTTTGTATGGGGCCCACGATAATTAAAGGAATATGATTACAATTTAGGAATTCAAATCTTTTAAATTTCCAAAAAAAAAATAACTATAATAAAAATAAATGTAATAAATAAGGGTAAAATTGGTATTATAAAAAAATCGCAGAAATCTAAAAATGTAAAATTTGAAAACTTTAGACATTTATGAAATTAAATTTAGAAAACAGTCCTACACAGCATTATCTCTAAAATAAACCAGTCTACATATTGAGGGTTGAGGCCTATAGAAGTGCTACAATTCTTGGTCTCTTAGAGAATCTTTTATTATTATTATTTTTTTTTTCAAAGCTAAAGAGAGAAGAATTTGAATTCGAGTTGGATTTCTTTACACCAATTAATAATTTCAATACCATCACTTCTAGTATTTTTTTTTTTTTAAATGAGTTTAAGTGAAGTTTTAAAATATTGAAGACCAAATCCAGATGGGAGCAAAGAATTGTTATCATTAAAAAAAGAAAAAAATAGAAGTGATACCATAAGGTTTGTGTATAAAGAAATAGAATAGAAATATTTAGTGAAGAAATGAAGAGATTGTGGTGATAAAGATGAGAAGAGGAAGGTGAGAAAAGTGGGTAAGCTGATGAATGCTTCCCATTTGTTTGAAAAGAAGTTTGTCTCCATTTTAGATATACATATCCATGTGGGGAGGCCTCTTCTTGCCTTCCCCTTTGTCCCTTTTTTTTTCCCTCTTTCTTATCACCACCGCTATTTACTTTCATTCTCGGTCTAGTTTTTATACTTCTAGAAATGACGAATTAAGCTATTGATTTAAAAGTTTTAGTTAAAAGTTTGATCAGAAAATAACTTATATGTGGATACGAGTGAATAAAAATTTCTACCATTCAAAAGTGATTCATATGAATTGATTATAGCATAATTTAATGTCTATGACTTCATCGTTAGACTAAATTGTCACAAAAAGAAATGGTATAAAGAGCCAAATGTGTTTTTTTTTTTAAACCTCAATTGTTTAATAAATTCTCTCTCCTTTCCCATGCAAATCATGTAGCCCAATGGAAGGAGAAAGAGAAGAGAAAAAAAAAAAAAAAAACCCTTCATTGTGCAATTAACTAGTGTGTAGTGGAATAATATTTGCTCTAACATAGTAATGATTGATTTACTCAACCTTTAGTAAATTGTTCCTTAATAAAAAAAATTACAAAATTATAAGTGGGAGAAAAGAGATTCAATTTAAAAATGTTTGTTTTCAAAAAACTCAACTTATCAACTAAAGTTTCTCAATTTAATAGGTTGCAAATAAGTCATTCATATCACATCTCTCCCTTTTCTAATTCTAATATCTCATCTTCTTATTTTGTGTATAAAATGTTAATTTTATAAGTTACATTAATAATAAAAAAAAAGATGGTTGACGGAAGGGGAGGGAAAAAAAAACATATGCAAATGAACCTATACAATACCCACCCATTTTAATAAAAAGTGGATCTGATTCAAAAAATAATTATAATAATTAAATTGGATGATTTGATGAGATTTCTTTGATCCAATCATTTCTTAATGTAAATGATCCTATCTTATTGATTAAAAAATAACACTCTTTTAATAAAGACAAACTTCATAGATCAAATTTGGAAGAAAAAAGAAAAGAAATAATATTATTTTTTCCCCACACTTTATAAAAAGTAAAAATATCCCAATTTATTAGCTTAAGAAGAGGAGAGTGTAGAGTTTATGTGTCAGTGTCTGTGATGAGAAAATATATAAGAAATAAAAGCACTTTCTTTTGCAAAAAAATAAAAGCACTTGGAAAAGTTGAAAAAATAGGGGCATGTGATCACACCAAAAACTTTGCCTTTTTTTATTTTTTTTAGATGTCAGAATTTTAATATATAGTTTTTGTATGTATTATTTGCTTACTACTTTTGATTTTGATTTCTTATTTATTTGGTTTTTATTATAATTTAAATTCAACTCTTGTCTAAGTTCAAATTTTGGGAGCCTTTGGCAGCTCTCGATCAAGGAAAAATGGGCAACGCATCATATTATATCGTGAAAATAGATCAATTTGTAAATCTTTATGTCAATTTAATTTCTAATATTTCATATATATAGTAAAATGTAACAAAATTTTCATGTAAAAAGTCATTTCAAACTTCAAGGTTTTATGTTTTGCCATAAGAACTTTGAAGATTGAAGTTGTCATATTAATTGAGATGTCAAAATTTTAAAACATTACTTTACATTTAAAAAAATGTTAGGACTAATCAAATGCACCTCATCGAAATTTATCTTTATTTAGAGCAATCAATGTGCCCATATCCCAATTATTTGATTTTGAGTAATATTGTCTTATTTTATATATAATATTTTTCATTTCTTATTATTTCCTGTTTTTTAATAAAGTAAAACAAAAGTATTTTGATTTGTTTTCTATTTTAGAATTTTGTTCGAAAACTTTTTTTTTAAATATTACGTTATATTTATTGTATAAAAAAGACAGAACACTAATTTTATTTATATTTTTGAAAGCCTGAAAATAAGGGAAGAAAAAAAATTAGAAACTGTATTTCATGGTTTTAAAAATTTGCATAAAATTTTAAGATTATTTCTCAAAAATAAAAAAAAAAACAAGAAAAAACAAATAACCAAAGAATACTTATATATTATAAATGATTAGTTTAGTTAAACTTACAAGAAAAAATCATTATTTCAATCATTATTTTTAATGTGTTAAAGTGAATATGTATTCAAGTCTTTGATTGATCAGGCTTTTTAAGATATGTTCTATTTCATTGCCTGATCGGGACGAGTGTAGCCTAAATCCAATCTACCACATATTCATTTAGGGGGCGTTGTCGTTCTAGGAGAACACTTTCTCATTTCTTATTCGACTTCATCGATATATGGTTCTTCGATTCGTTACATCGCGCTTCATTTGATTATTCTATTTTCTCTTTCCACACTATTAGTATCTTTGCTTAGGAAGCAGTTGTTAGACTAAAAAATAAACTTTTTAAAAGTTTAGAAACTGAAGGCACCTTAAAATTTACGGATTGAAATCAACATTATTTTGAAAGCTGCTGAAATAGAATATAACAAATTTGAAAATTTAAATACTAAAATCACATTTAAATTTTGATTATATTCAAAATACTCCGGATTTAAACTTCTTGATCAATTAACACAACTCTTTCCCATGTAATTTTCTCTTTATTCTACAAACAACACCCATCTCAAAAAACGAAAAAAAAAATAGTAATGTCTATGAAAATATCAAAATCTTAAGGTTAGAAATTGAAGAAAAATATCTAAAAGTTTGACCGACGGGATTTGACCCACTAACCCACCAACAAAAAAATTTATTAGATGAGACCGTCACTAACGACTATTGAGTACGCATTCGAATTTGTATGTCCTTTAAAATGATCGGATACATATCCGAGAAGCGTCTGGTAATTTATGTCTTGTTCATCTGTGTGAGTAGGTAAAATTACAACCACATTGTTTCGGCTCCTCCAATAATTAATCGGAATGAACCCTATGTCTAACAGCGGTTAGATCAGCTGCCGAAAATCGGGGCCCACATGTTGGTGGATGAGATAATCGTCACCGTTGGATGCATCAAATATCATATTCTGATGATGATCAAGAATCAGCTGATGCTGATGCTGCTGCTGCTGTGTTCTTTGAAGCTCCTTCTGCCGCCGGAGCTCCAGCACCTTCCGGTGAGAATTTGAATGCTTAGTGAGAACAAACGTGGGGCTGGCAGCGGGCCGGTACTCCGGCACCAGCCGGCCGGACTTGTACCGGACGCCGCACGCATTGCACAGCGTCTTTGGGCCCATTGGGCCCGTCCGCCACTGAGGCGTCTTGTCGGTGGCGCAGTGCATGCACTTCCGCCCCTCTCCGGGCGACGCGCCGGCGTCCGGACAATCCTTCTTCTTTGCTGTGACCGTGGCCTTAATGGTGGCTTTCTTTCCGGGGTGCGGCGGCGTGGCGGCGACGGCTAAGACGTCGAGTTCGGAGGAGGAGGTGGTCGGAGAGAGGGGGAGGAGGCGGGAGTTGTTCCAGTTGGTGGGAACGGCGGCGCGTGAGCGTTTGCTGCGGGCCTTGGCCGGAACGGAGACGATGTCGGGTTTGAAGATTTCGGCGGCGGCGACGGCGACGGCGGGGGAGGGCTGCCGGATTTGGAAGGTTTCGTCGGATTTGACTTTGACGCCGGAGATTAGCTCCAGCTTTTGCATGTCCTCGCTGGAAAATGATTCCTCTACGAAGTTTGAAAGCCATTCCAGCTCAGCTAAATCGTCGTACTGTAAAAATATTCAACACTGTTAATAATAATAATAACAATTTGTTTTAATTAGTCAAATTTACCATCTTGTCTTAGTTTCTTAAAATAAAATTAATTACATAAATGCTCTTGTTTATTTCACATTTTTAAGTAAATAATAAACCTAGCCAAAGTGGTCGAACATTTAAAAAATTAACGGGTTGAAAATTGAATGTTGTATTTAAATATAAATAATATTTTAGGAGCTAGTTCTAACTACACCATTAAAATTTTAAAGTTATAAAAGAATAACTTAACCCCAACTGTTTTTTTTTTTTTTTAATAATGGTTACCTACTGTACTTAACTATTATTCTTTAACTATCTCACCAAAAATAAAATAAATATAGAGGATAATACTTTTATGTTACAAATAAGGTAAGGTGTTTTAAACTTACTATTAAAGAAAAAACACATATAAAAAATGTATGTACATAGCATAGAATGAAATAGAGTAACTCTTTTAGTTAAAAGATAAAATAATATATGCTAGGAAAATAATACTTATGTTAAAAAGAAAAGAAAAAGTTGTAATGTTTTAAAAATATTATAAACTTAAAATGGAATAAAATTAAAGATATTTTTTTCGTTTGAAATACTCACCGCCTCTCGATTCAAGATATATGTCAATTATGGTTCGGAGCCGAAATGGTTTCTTAGCAAAGCAGTGTTATAAATATTTATTATGCAGTGTGACAAATTAAGTAAGGAATCCCGTCAATTGTATTGAAAGGTAAAAAGAGAAAGGGTAAAAGGGTGAAATGAGAGAGGCCAAGACGGCGTCGGTTCGAGAGATGAAGAAATTGGCGAGGTGTAGGGAAGAAAGGGAAAAGGGGGAAAAAGAAAGCAGAAGCAGAAGCAGAGGATTACCGGAACGCAGAGTTCGGTGGAGAATTTTGCGTCGCCTAAATTGGAGTGAGTAATGTCGTCGAGGAACGAATTGGGTTCGCAGCAGGAGAAGGAATTCGACGAATTGCAACTCTCGATCACGGAGACGGAGACGGAGGGATTATTATTATCGTTTCCGTTGAAGCTGCTAACGTCGGCCGCGACGCCGTCGTCGTTGGAGAAGTCGAGAAGTTCCTCGACGATGAAATGCTCGCCGCCGCAGCCGCCGTCGGTGTCGTTATCGGAGGAGGAGTGGCGAGTTTCGGCGACGAATTGGGATGAGCAGTATGCTGCATTATTGATCTGAAAATAGTCGGGAAGTTCCATGGAAGTGTGGCGCAGCGCGATAGAACGCAAGAGAAGAGAGGGAGAGGGAGAAGAAAAAAAAAATAGTGAGAGGGAGGGAGAGAGGGAAGTGGCTAAGAGCGAAGACTGAAAAATTATGGCTCTGAGAGAGGGTCGGTTTGCGTTTGAAGGGGACAAGAGGACACCTGAAATGAAGGAACCAAGCCAAGCTTCTTTTTTTCTTTTTTTTTTTTCTAATTCTAATAAATTTCAGCTCTAATTACTTCCATGCCCTTGCCTAAATAACTAACCTCAGAGTTGTAATGCAAGAAGCGAAGCGACTCGACTAGTTTGGATTGCTAAGCCTCATCACTTCTCTTCGGTTGGCATGCAAGATCAATATCAAATATATATTTACACGTAACATCGACTTATATATGTGTATATTCTCTTGAACTAATTGATTTAGAGTAAGGAGATGAGTTGTAGTGATAAAATTACTTATTAAATAACGTTTTTTTTTATTCGTATGCCTCCTACTTTTTAAGTTCTTAAATTTGGTTTAAGGTTATGACAGAGATGTTTCACAGAGTATAGAGTAAAGGAAAGAGATTGTTAATCGGATTAAACTAAGAAAGTAACCCAATTTTATTACAAGAGATGAAGTTTATATAAACATGGTAAAAAGAAAGAAAATAAAAAGATAATTTGTCTTTAATCAAAATTTTTTCATTCACGAGGGCAACTTTGTAAGTGTGCAACTGGACAGTGATTTTTGAAAGGTTAGTAAAAGAAAAGGTTGTAATAAGATATTAATTAAGGAAATTAAAAATGTGTTTTTTTTCCCCTGAGGAACCGATCTCAGCTGGTCTATCGCTCAAACTCGTGGCATTAGGTAGCCACCAATTTCCCACAACCTCCGATTTATTTGCACTTTTTTTTATTTTCCTTGTGAAAATCGTGCTTTTCTCCCTCTAAACAAATATTGCATTTGCATTCTCTTTTATTCATCCATAATTTTAAATAATTTAAAAGTCTAGATTTCAAAAAGTCTCCCGTTTCATTTTTATTTTTATCTTATTTTTTTTTCATACTTTCCATAGAGCAAATGAACGACTTATTATTAAGTTAAACTAGGAGTATCTTCCTCGAATGAAAACATCAATCATCTTTGGCTAGAAAGATTTCTTTCTCGTGATGGCTTCCCGTGCAGGGAAAAAAGTTGTTCAGAGTTACATGGAAAGAGATATCAACATATATATTAATCTAATCACACTTTAAATTGACATAAGCTATTTGCTTGTTCTAAATTTTATTGTTTTAGTCCTTCTAGACTGCTCAACAAACCGTAGCTTAGCAAATCACATTCATCTACTTTTACAGAAATGATTCTCTCCCACTAATTAGAGAAAGATAGGTATGGGTAGGAGGGAAACACTTCACTTACTTATTTTCTTGAGATGTGTAAGCATAAAATTGTATTAAAGATTTCTATATTATGTATAAAAGAAATTGCAAATAAGAATAAAATTGGTCGCTTTTTAAAAATATAGGGACCCAAATATTTGAAAATTTTCAATATTAAAATAAATAAAAATTCAAAATACATGAATCAAAATAAATTTTTAAAAAATATGGAGAGAAAAATGAACAAAAATAAAAAATACAATAAACCGATGAACCAAAATAATATTTAAATTTAATTTAAATTCAACGCACACATCACATCCAAAATAAAGACATAAATAAAAAAGTTAAGAAAACTTACATTTTTGTACTCGGTACACACTCCTGTGTACTTACTTGGTTGGGACCTTTTTTCTCTAAAGTTTAATAAATTGTGAAATATAATTAATATCTACTTAAAATTAAATTAGAAAATTTTTCAAAACCGAAGAAGATATCGTACAAAATTTAATAGATAAGTCACGCGAATATTCAAAATGAACCCTACAAAACTAAGTAGTTATATAAATATAAATTCCTGAGCATAGTTCAAATATTTGTGAATTAAAGATATTTGAGAATTTAGATGCCTTAATATATAAATGTATAAGTCAGGTAAAAAAAATGTTAAAATTTGTTAACAATTTTTTTTTCTTTGAAATATTAAGATCAGATTAAAATTATTTAAAAAATCATGGACATTTGGCATAGTTAATTTTTTTTTTTAATCAAGAATCTTGACAATAAAAATTATACGCAAATATACCAGATAATTCCTAATCTTTGAGGTAATTCTCAATTCGTTTTCCAATGTTCAAAAATTCTCAACTTGATCTTCAACGTGCAAAAAATTCTCAATTTTGTCCTTCCATTAAAAATTTGTTGACAAAAAGTTAATGTATCATCAAATTATCATTATATTAACGTATTTGGACACTTTTGAACATGCTACTCACATGCTATATGACACACAAAACTCAACTTGTTCATTTGGAAAAATATGACCCACCAGTCAATAAAATTTATTTCTTCCAAGTGGCATGTAATTTAATGATACATTAGTTTTTTTTAATAAAGTTTTAATACATTTTTTACCTAGAGTTAATTGAAAATTTTTAATACAATAAAAATATAATTAAAAATATTAAAAGATTAGGAACCAAATTAAAAAATTACCCCTCTATTTAACCAAAATCAATAGTACACGTGGTAAAAACATCATAGAGTAAAAAAAAATGTCGGTAATGTGATAACGTGGCAGACAGCAACAGGTGGAGACTAAGCGAGGAGGGTCCCAAATTCATTGCATTTTGATACCTAGGAAAGGAGTATTCTTAGAGACATTGGATAAGGTTTTCATGTCTACATTAATTGCTCCACTTTTGGATATCTTTTGCATTTTTCTAATCTATTGAAATTTACCAAGAAAAATGGGGGGTTAATCCATGAGTGTGTAATTATACTATACAATGTAATTTAACATATCAAAATTTTAAATTTTAAATTAATACATAAAAATTATCTTTTGTATTTTTTTAAATATAGATAATAAAGCGGTTGTTAAAAATGAATTATTTTTACATACCCGCAATCGTAATCAATCAATCAAAACTTTGATTCCCTTTAATAATGTTTACCAAATTGCAGGAATGTAATCAAGTGGTGGGACTCACCTCAAACTTTGTAATCTCAAAGGTGTAATCTCATTACACGTCATTCTTTATTGTGTGGACCCCACATATATTATAATTAATGTACCATTTTTATCATTTCTCTTTCTCCAATGTTTATTAGCTTATATAATTTTATTATATAATATGATAAATTAATATCAATAAATTTTTTAAATAGATATTATTACTTTTAAATATTAGAATAATATTAATAATATGTTATATTAAAGTTTGGTTGTTCTAATAAAAAAATTGGATTTGATGTAATTTTATTTTAATTATTCGTTATGTATTAATATTAGATAAATTGTTATAATAAAAAATATTTACTATCAATAATATATTAATAAATTCAATTAAAATTTATTATAATTGTAATTTAAAAAATATTAGCACAATAATATATTTGTAATTAACTAAAAAATAGAAATGGGTATATTAGTAATTGTCATATATCTGATTCCGATTCCGATTCTGATTTCATATAGTTTTAGTAAATAACATCAAAGGAATTTTGATTACGATCCAGAAAATTTATGGTAAACAATATCAATGGAATAACATTACGATTCCGATTGATTTTATTATAATTGATTTTTATTACGATTGCGTACAAGTAAACGTGGTCTAAATTACCTAACTAGGGATGTAAGTAGAAAATTAAAAATAAGGTTACTTGTTTTTTTTTCCTTTTTTTTATCTCTAAATTATGAAAAATGAGGAAATTTTCAATAATAGTGGAATAAATTGTTATTGCTTTCAATACTTTAATTAAAAAAACAAAGAAGTTCAGAAACAGACAAATTTATATTTAGAATTAAAAAAATAAAGAGAGGGAAAAATGGGTATAAGATGAGAATTTAATCTTATAGGATAATGATAATGGTTAAGAAAAAAACTCCTATAGTTCGATTTTAATTTTGGTTTACCTAATCATGCATATGGTAGTTGAGAACTTGAGATGCAATGTAAAAAAAATTTTAAAAAAATGGCAATTTCGTTTTATATCTAAATACATGATTTTAATGAAAAATAAATATCTTTTTAGTATTTTATTAATTTGATTAGAATCTGTAGTTAAAGTGGGGTCCATATAGACGACTCAGCAAACCATGTGAGGTCAAAAGAGAAAATTGGCACTAGTCAATCCACGTGGCAGAATTTCGTAGGACCTTCCTTTTTATTAGCTTACAGCCTATGTGTGACCATGTTCGCCGTATACAGTAACGTGAGAGCACGTGGTATGGAGGTCACGTGCCTCATAAACTTGTGGGAAGAGCACGTGGGAACTTTCTTTTTTCTTTTTTTTTTTTCATTTAAACAAAAAATACTCGACTTTCAAAAGTTTCCATACTACCTTGATATTTTATAACTCTTTAAAAATATCCTTACGAACAAATATTCATTAATATTTTAACAGAAAATTGACGTGACACGTGAAGTTTGCTTGGATTATGTCTTTAAAGAGAGAAAATATAGAATTCGTCATTTTTTTTAAAATGAGATTAGATAAAATCAAGTAAACAATACAATAAAGAAGCAAACTTTATTAACAATAGAAGAATAAGACTTTTATGACAAAATTGGGACGTTAATTACCACATTAGTTATCATGTAGTTCAAATTCTACCATGTCAATTTTAGACTCGAAATATTAACGAATATTTATTCAAATAATACTTTTTAAATATTTACTAAAGTTTAAGAGTAGTATTAAAATTTTTGAAATGATAAAGAATATTTTTTAAACAATTATAATTTTTGTTTGAACTGCAGTACTATAGAAGAANAATATGGGGGAACGTGGGCCTCCCAAACTTGGAGCTGGGCCGGAGATACTTGAATCAAGTCCACCAAAATGGCCCGTATTTGATTAATGGCCTCGTTATTTTCTATCAACTGATAAATTTACTCTCTCTTTTAAATTGAGGT